CTAAAACAAAAATCTAAATATGTTCACTCCCTGTCACTTTAACACTCCCTACTTGACCTGAATGGCAAATGAGAAGACTATCCCTATAATTAACAATAGCAACTATACCTTGGGCGACCAGCTCTAGATGTTGGGCTGGTCTCGGGGAGAGGTAAGATGTTTGACCTCTCCCAGCTGCTCCCGTTTCCACACTGATCTCTTCCTTGTCTGGTCTACCCCAGACAGAACATTGTATCCTTCCGCCTAGTCAAAGTTTTACCAAGTTACTAGCCAGGTTTAAGTTATAACAATTAACCTCTGTTGTACTTAATTGATCCAGACTGGTTGAATTATTTTACTGAAGTTAAATTACACAAGCATCTAACGGCAGAGCTGTTCCCGATCACAAAAATGGTTATTAAAACTTTGAGGAATAGTAGACCTGTCAACCCTGGTGACCTATGACCGCCGGTCACTCCGCCTTACAAGTTAGATCTGATTCGTGACGTCACTGATGGTGACTTAAACTCAATAATTAGAATACTCTTGATATTGTATCCAGTACTATTATACAATACAATTTTAATACAAAATGAATAAAGGCTAATTTCTCTAAATTACTGAATACTATAGGATGATTCATTATACGCAGCTATGAACAAAGCGTTGGTTATTTCCACCGCGAATTCCCCTGGGGGTCAGGTCTCCCAGGTCACCATGCGGGCTCATCTTCCCATTCTCTTTTGTCGATAAACCACTCTGGATAATTCTTACAACAGCCTAGTTTGTTACAGTTTGGTCCACCAGGCTGTTGCTTGGAGCGGCCCGCAGGCCCACATACCCACCACAGCCCGGTTGGTCCAGCAGTACTTGGAGGAAACTATCTAGTTTTTTCTTGAAGATGTCCACGGTTGTTCCTTCAATATTTCTAATGCTCGCTGGGAGGACGTTGAACAACCGCGGACCTCTGATGTTTATACAGTGTTCTCTGATTGTGCCTATGGCACCTCTGCTCTTCACTGGTTCTATTCTGCATTTTCTTCCATATCGTTCACTCCAGTACGTTGTTATTTTACTGTGTAGATTTGGTACTTGGCCCTCCAGTATCTTCCAGGTGTATATTATTTGGTATCTCTCCTGTCGTCTTTCTAACGAGTACATTCGGAGAGCTTTGAGACGATCCCAATAATTTAGGTGTTTTATCTCGTTTCTGTATACCGTATATGTATTCTGTATTCCCTCTATTTCAGCAATCTCTCCTGCTCTGAAGGGGGAAGTGAGTACTGAGCAGTACTCAAGACGGGACAACACAAGTGACTTGAAGAGTACAACCATTGTGATGGGATCCCTGGATTTGAAAGTTCTCGTAATCTATCCCATCATTTTTCTGGCTGACGCGATATTTGCTTGATTATGCTCCCTAAACGTTAGGTCGTCGGACATTATTATTCCCAAATCCTTTACATGCTGTTTTCCTACTATGGGTACATTTGATTGTGTTTTGTACCCTGTATTATGTTTAAGATCCTCATTTTTACCATACCTGAGTACCTGAAATTTATCACTGTTAAACATCATGTTATTTTCTGCTGCCCAGTCGGAAACTTTATTAATATCTTGAGGTCATCTTGAGATGATTTCGTTTTTTTTTTTTTTTTTTTTTTTTTTTTTTTTTAGTGTCCCCGCGGCCCGGTCCTCGACCAGGCCTCCAACCCCAGGAAGCAGCCCGTGACAGCTGACTAACACCCAGGTACCTATTTTACTGCTAGGTAACAGGGGCATAGGGTGAAAGAAACTCTGCCCATTGTTTCTCGCCGGCGCCTGGGATCGAACCCAGGACCATAGGATCACAAGTCCAGCGTGCTGTCCGCCCGGCCGATCTGCTTGTAATTTTTCAATATCTTCAGCACAGGTAATTTTCATGTTGATCTTTGTGTCATCTGCAAAGGATAATACGAAGCTGTGCCTTGTATTTGAGTCTATATCTGATATGAGAATAAGGAACAGCAGTGGTGCAAGGACTGTACCCTGAGGTACTGAGCTTTTAACTGCGCCTGTACTCGATTTTATATGGTTGACTGTTACTCTGTGTTCTGTTCGACAGAAAACTGAGTATCCGGCGTCCTACTTTACCAGTTATACCCATTAACCTCATTTTGTGTGCTATCACTCCATGGTCACATTTATCGAATGCCTTTGCGAAATCCGTGTATATCACATCTTCATTACATTGTTCTTAGTGATTTTGTCGTAATGGTCAAATAACTGTGAGAGGCACGATCTTCCTGCTCTAAATCCATGTTGGCCTGGGTTGTGGAGGTCATTGGTCTCCATGAATCTAGTGACCTGACTCCTGATCACTCTCTCAAATACTTTTATGTGGGACGTTAGTGCAACTGATCTATAATTCTTTGCCAATGCTTTGCTCCCTCCCTTGTGTAGAGGGGCAATGTCTGCGTATCTCCCCCGTGTCCAAGCTCTTCCTCCACACTATACCGAGTGCCTGTGCTACCGGCACTTTGCATTTCTTTATGAATATTGAATTCCATGAGTCTGGACCTGGGGCCGAGTGCATGGGCATATTGTCAATTTCTCTTTCAAAATCTGTCACGCTCGTGTTGATATCAGTTATATTTACAGGTGTTTGAGCATCATTCATAAAGAAGTTGTCCGAATCTTCCACTTTCATGCTGTGTATCGGAGTGCTAAACATGTCCTCATACTACTTTTTTAGGATTTCACTAATTTCTTTGTCATCCTCCGTGTACGAACCTTCACTAGTACTAATAGGTCTGGCAGTGGTTTTTGCTTTTGATTTAGCATATGTGAAGAAATGTTTTGGGTTTTTCTTATTTCTTGAATTGCTTTCTGTTCTAGTTGCCTTTCTTCAATCTGATATGAATGCTTCGGTAGTTCTCCCCCCACTCTACCCAGGTCCAGGGTGTGTTGTTTTGGTAGTGGTTCGTCCAGTTCTGGTAGTAGTGCGGTAGTTGTGTGGTGTAGTACCTGTGTGCTTGTTGATGACTTGTATTCCAGTCTTGTGGGTATCTCCCTTCCCCTCTGTAATCCTGTAGTGGTTCCATCTGACTGTTCCTCTCTCTTATATGTTCTACTCTGTTTCTGCCTTCTTCTAAAAAAATTCCAGTAGTGTCATATTGATCTTCCCGTCTATAACGCTGTGTACCTCTCACGTGGAATTCCGGCCATTGGAGATTGTAGCAGTCGTGGCACCGCTGCTGTGTCTCATTCTTATCTCGGATATAAACAAAAATACTAGTCACAGCTTCGTGTCATTCTTTGCATTTGACACGAAAATCAGCATGAAAATTTTCTACATAGAAGACTGAAAAATTTCAAGCCGATATTATTAATCTTTGGGCAACGGAAAATAACATGATGTTTAAAAGTGACAAGTTCCAGGTACTGAGGTATGGTGGACACGAGGAACTTAAACGAAACACAAGGAACAGGACACAATCATAGAAAGAAACAAATATAGCGGCGGCGGCGGCGGCCAGGACAATGATTGGATGGATTATGAGAACGTTCACATCCAGAGATCCCACAGCAATGTTAATACTATTGCCATCACTGGTGCTGTCCCGTCTTGAGTACTGCTCGGTACTCACTTAACCTTTCAGAGCGGGAGAGATCTGTGAATTAGAGGGAATACAGAGAACATATACGGCACGCATAGACACGATAAAACATCTACATTATTGGGACGGTCTCAAAGCTCTCAAAATGTTCTCTCTGGAAAGGAGACGAGAGAGATACCAAATAATATACACGTGGAAGATACTGGAGGGCCAAGTACCAAATCTACACAGTAAAATAACAACGTACTGGAGTGAACGATATGGATTAAAATGCAGAATAGAACCAGTGAAGAGCAGAGGTGCCATAGGCACAATCGGAGAACACTGTATAAACATCAGAGGTCCGCGGTTGTTCAACGTCCTCCCGGCGACTATAAGAAATATTGCCGGAACAACCGTGGACATCTTCAAGAGAAAACTAGATTTATTCCTCCAAAGAGTGCCGGACCAACCGGGCTGTGGTGGGTATGTGGGCCTGCGGGCCGCTCCAAGCAACAGCCTGGTGGACCAAACTCTCACAAGTCAAGCCTGGCTTCGGGCCGGGCTTGGGGTGTAGAAGAACTACCAGAACCTGACCAAGCTCGGGTCAAGATAGATTTGGGTTAGGTCAGGATAGGTCTGGTCTGGTCGGGTCGGGTCGGGTCGGATCAGGATAGGTTGGGTTTGTTTAAGGAGTAGCGATGACGTTGAAGGATACATGCTTTTCTCATTAGTTGGAACCTACTGGCATTTGGTGATGTCCTGTAGTAGTTGACCAGACCACACACTAGGAGGTGAAGGGACGACGATGTTTCGGTCCGTCCTGGACCATTCTCAAGTCGATTCAAGACCACAATCGACTTGAGAATGGTCCAGGACGGGCCGAAACGTCGTCCTCGTCCCTTCACCTTCTAGTGTGTGGTCTGGTCAACATACTTTAGCCACGTTATTGTGACTTATTATCTGCTCCTGAAGTAGTGGCACGCGGGTCCAGGCGCACTCTCGCGCCCCCCCAGTACACCTGGCCCACACCCCCTCCCCCAGTACCCCTGGCCCACACCCCCTCCCCCAGTACCCCTGGCCCACATCCCCACCCCCCCAGTACCCCTGGCCCACACCACCTCCCCCCCAGTACACCTGGGCGAAGGTCGAAGCTGATAATCATTACCCCAAGATAAAGTCAACATTACCGAGCTTTACTCTTGATTAAACCCCACCATTGTGACGGTCAGGTCAACTACGTCAAAAAGCGACGCATTAAGCGAGAGGACAGGTCTGGCATACAACATTAGGCAGAATCCATTCTACAGTGATTTAATCCGTACTGATAGGTCGCATTTCTAACGGATTGATCGACTGCACGAAAGAAATTATGAAAAGGCGGCGCCGTGCAGCCGTTAGGACTTTGGCGCGTGGGCGGGTTAAAAAATGGCGGGAACTTACCCTTCCTGAGGGAGAGCTGGTTCTCGCCCTGGGCGCGGAACTCGTAGAGGGCGACGAAGAGCTGAGGGTCGCCCTCCTCCTCGGGCGCCAGCAGGTTCTCCCTAGAGTGCCACTTGGTGGCGGTGGCTTCTTGCTGGGGTGTGGGCGCCGGGGCGGTGGCGGCGGCGGCGGTGGAGACGGGCGGTGGCGTGGCGTGGGTGGCGGCGGGCGTGGGTGTGATGGTAGTGAAGGTGGCCCCCACGTGGGGTTGTGGCTCAGGAGGGCCCGGGCCCCCCATGGGGTCCAGAGGGCCACTGCCACTCACCAGGTCGGGCAGGTCCGGCAGTGGCCGCGCCGCTAACAGCGCTTCTGTAAGGTAAACAGTTCATTGTTACTCTTAGGGAAAACTTTTGTCACTCACACTGTGTCTTTGGGGTCCACTACCGCCCACAGGATGGGTATGGGGTCCACTACCGCCCACAGGATGGGTATGGGGTCCACTACCACCCACAGGATGGGTATGGGGTCCACTACCACCCACAGGATGGGTATGGGGTCCACTACCACCCACAGGATGGGTATGGGGTCCACTACCACCCACAGGATGGGTATGGGGTCCACTACCACCCACAGGATGGGTATGGGGTCCACTACCACCCACAGGATGGGTATGGGGTCCACTACCGCCCACAGGATGGGTATGGGGTCCACAACCACCCACAGGATGGGTATGGGGTCCACTACCGCCCACAGGATGGGTATGGGGTCCACTACCACCCACAGGATGGGTATGGGGTCCACTACCACCCACAGGATGGGTATGGGGTCCACTACCACCCACAGGATGGGTATGGGGTCCACTACCACCCACAGGATGGGTATGGGGTCCACTACCGCCCACAGGATGGGTATGGGGTCCACTACCACCCACAGGATGGGTATGGGGTCCACTACCACCCACAGGATGGGTATGGGGTCCACTACCACCCACAGGATGGGTATGGGGTCCACTACCACCCACAGGATGGGTATGGGGTCCACTACCACCCACAGGATGGGTATGGCATGCATAATTACCCAAATTAAACATTAACCACCATTATGAAGTTGACACATTGAAAAATAAAGTATTGTTAACATTTAGACCTATGGCCAAGCAACTACTAGGCCTACCATTAGGCCTACGGTCAAGCAGAGGCCTATGGCGTTGTGATGAGTGGGAAATCACCAATCACGTACCTGCTTTTTTACTACGGGTGCCCACACATGCGCCCATGGCCAACGTGGGCGGCTATAGTGGGCACCATACATGGGTGTGCGGGGGAGAGTAGGGTGGGAGGAAGAACATGGAGGCCCCAACACGGCCCATGCCCGCATATCTTATCACCCCCACAACAGGCTGGTGGCCCGCCCCTCCTTCCCCGACACTACTGGTGGTGGGGGCTGTCACTGTCACTCACAGTGTGGGTAACTCTCCACACTGACGTCATCACCCCCTGGCACACTGAGGGCTTGTCACCCCCTGACACACTGAGGGGCTTGTCACCCCCTGACACACTGAGGGGCTTGTCACCCCCTGACACACTGAGGGGCTTGTCACCCCCTGACACACTGAGGGGCTTGTCACCCCCTGACACACTGAGGGGCTTGTCACCCCCTGACACACTGAGGGGCTTGTCACCCCCTGACACACTGAGGGGCTTGTCACCCCCTGACACACTGAGGGGCTTGTCACCCCCTGACACACTGAGGGGCTTGTCACCCCTGACACACTGAGGGGCTTGTCACCCCCTGACACACCGAGGGCTTGTCACCCCTGACACACCGAGGGCTTGTCACCCCCTGACACACTGAGGGGCTTGTCACCCCCTGACACACTGAGGGGCTTGTCACCCCCTGACACACTGAGGGGCTTGTCACCCCGACACACTGAGGGGCTTGTCACCCCCTGACACACTGAGGGGCTTGTCACCCCTGACACACTGAGGGCTTGTAACCCCTGACACACCGAGGGCTTGTAACCCCTGACACACCGAGGGCTTGTCACCCCTGACACACTGAGGGGCTTGTCACCCCCTGACACACTGAGGGCTTGTCACCCCCTGACACACTGAGGGCTTGTCACCCCCTGACACACCGAGGGCTTGTCACCCCCTGACACACCGAGGGCTTGTCACCCCTGACACACCGAGGGCTTGTCACCCCTGACACACCGAGGGCTTGTCACCCCTGACACACCGAGGGCTTGTCACCCCTGACACACCGAGGGCTTGTCACCCCCTGACACACTGAGGGGCTTGTCACCCCTGACACATTGAGGGCTTGTCACCCCCTGACACACTGAGGGCTTGTCACCCCCTGACACACTGAGGGCTTGTCACCCCCTGACACACTGAGGGCTTGTCACCCCCTGACACACTGAGGGGCTTGTCACCCCCTGACACATTGAGGGGCTTGTCACCCCCTGACACATTGAGGGCTTGTCACCCCCTGACACACTGAGGGCTTGTCACCCCTGACACTGAGGGGCTTGTCACCCCTGACACTGAGGGGCTTGTCACCCCTGACACACTGAGGGCTTGTCACCCCTGACACACTGAGGGGCTTGTCACCCCCTGACACACTGAGGGGCTTGTCACCCCCTGACACACTGAGGGCTTGTCACCCCCTGACACACTGAGGGGCTTGTCACCCCCTGACACACTGAGGGCTTGTCACCCCTGACACACTGAGGGGCTTGTCACTCCTGACACACTGAGGGGCTTGTCACTCCTGACACACTGAGGGCTTGTCACCCCCCTGACACACTGAGGGCTTGTCACCCCCTGACACACTGAGGGCTTGTCACCCCCTGACACACTGAGGGCTTGTCACCCCTGACACACTGAGGGCTTGTCACCCCCTGACACACTGAGGGCTTGTCACCCCTGACACACTGAGGGCTTGTCACCCCTGACACACTGAGGGCTTGTCACCCCTGTCACACTGAGGGGCTTGTCACCCCCTGACACACTGAGGGCTTGTCACCCCCTGTCACACTGAGGGGCTTGTCACCCCCTGACACACTGAGGGCTTGTCACCCCCTGACACACTGAGGGGCTTGTCACCCCCTGACACACTGAGGGGCTTGTCACCCAGAACACGTCACAGGACCAACAAGTACACAGGGGGAGGGGGGTGTAGCGTGTGGAGGGGGGTGTAGCGTGGGGGTGGGGGGTGTGTGTAGCGTCAGGAGGGGACAGACACACAACTGATCACACGGAGGGTGTCACGACACACTGGCCGGCCCCGCTGTACACACCCGACCCCTCACACCCCCACCACACACCCCACCTCCTCCACGACCCCCACACCCCTCCACCCCCGACAGCTTAGCTGCCAACACCCACACATCGTGTCAGCAAGGCGGACAGCCCGCCGCCTGCTTTCATACCTCTCGCTGTATTTCCCACTTCTATACTTCCCTTCACCTATACCTCTCCTTCCTCTTTACTCCACCAACACACACACGGTTGAGAGGCGGGACCAAAGAGCCAGAGCTCAACCCCCGCAAACACAACTAGGTGAGTACATACACACACAATATCAAGGACGTCTAAGAGCCGCTTCTAACAGCCTGGTTGGCCCGGGTCAGGTTCTTGGAGAACTCTTGAAATCCTGTACAGGTAATCCTACACGTTCAGTGCCAACACTACTCTTCCTTGAAGATGACCCTCAGGACAGTTGCTCTTGCTTAAAATTATATTATATATATATATATATATATATATATATATATATATATATATATATATATTATATATATATATATATATAATTACATACACAAGAGTTACATTGTTGTACAAGCAGCAGCATAGCGTTTCGGGCAAGTCATTAACCCTAATTTCCCCTCCAATACAACCCACCAAGTCGTTTAACACCCAGGTACCCATTTACAGCTGGCTGAACACATGCTACAGTTAAGGAGTGGCGCCCAGTCAATCCTCCCCGACCAGGATACGAACCCAGGCCAAAGCGCTGGCAAAGCGTTGGACGAGTGCTTTACCACTGCGCCACGGCGACTGCTAATCGGTATATAAACGGGTATATCGTTTATATCAGGTCAATTCTGGAGTATGCGGCACCGGCCTGGAGCCCCTGTATGCCTGAATAACAACAGGAAGTTGGAGAAAGTTGAGAGGTGTGCCACCAGACTAGTCCCAGAGCTGAGAGTTACGACCTACGAGGAAAGTCTCCAGGTGTTAAACACCACGTCACACGAAGATTGAAGAAATAGGGAAGACATGATTACCTCATACAAAATACTCGGGGCAATAGACAGGGCAGACACTCTAGTAGGGATAGTACACAAGTGGAAACTAAGCTGCCAATTGAGCCAAAGACACATTCGGATATTGCCCAATAGGCTCTGGAACGTATAGAACAGTCGATCACGAGTTGAGAGGCGGGACCCAAGAGCCGTAGATCATTCCCCTACCATTGAGGCTGTCCTTCCCGTTCAGGAGACCGACAACTTCCTCCAGGAAGTATCGGATCAGCCAGGTTGTTTGGGTATGCGGGCCGCTCCAAGGGAAGGGAATTACCAGGACAAAGCGCCAAGCCATTACGACTATATAACACTGAGAAGGTGTCAGGATAAGGATTTGGAATGGGACGGGGGGAAGAAATGGCGCCCGGCCACTTGGACGTTAGGGGATTGAACGCCGACCTGCATGAAGCGAGACCGTCGCTCTACCGTCCAGTCCAAGTGGTTGGACGGACCTCTGCAAGCAACAGCCTTTTAGATCAAGTTATCACGAGACAAGTGCCACCTTTCATCCCTATTGAACTATACACACGTGTGAGCTTAATTAACACTCTCTATATAAAGCTCGGCTTACGAGAGAGAGCGAGAGAGAGAGAGAGCGAGAGAGAGAGAGAGAGCGAGAGAGAGAGAGCGAGAGAGAGAGAGAGAGCGAGAGAGAGAGAGAGAGCGAGAGAGAGAGAGCGAGAGAGAGAGAGAGAGAGCGAGAGAGAGAGAGCAAGAGCGAGAGAGAGAGGGGAAGAGCGAGAGCGAGAGGGCAAGAGCGAGAGATACAGACAGACAGCTGTGGTGCCACCAGTGCCTCCTGCTCTCAGCTCGAATATCAATTATGCAACACAACCCTGGAGTTGACAGCGGGGACGAGGCAGTTACCGGGGTCACACCACCACCCCAACCACCACTAATCCCCGCCCCCCCCCCCCTTATAACAATTACCACCTATAACAACCACCACCATCACCCCCCCCCCCCCCCCCACACACACACACGTCACTAGCATCACAACCCAACATCTTCACACCATCATCAACCCAACCACAACAGTCTAAGCGGTCAAACACCACATGCGGTAAACACTATTAAATATAAGGGGTAGTTCTAGACCCTAGCTGTGTCTGTAGTGATTCTTGGTGGCCATGGACCACACCGTCACGCCACAATGGTGGTGTACAATGAACTTTGTAGTCTTAAGTTTTCAACTACCCTCTCATTTAAAGAACATTACGAAATATAGAGAAGTTGCCTGTGAGAGTCATTGATCTCACCTTGTTATATTGACCAACATGTGTCTCCAGAAACACACGTGTGCAACAACATGTGTCTCCAGAAACACACTTATCTTGATGTGATTTCGAGGCTTAGCGTCCCTGCATCCCGGTTCTCGACCAGGCCTCCTTTTTGTTACACCCCCCTTTC